GAGTCAGATCAGCACTGATATCGTGAAACCAGAGAAGCGGCGTCGCAGTTGGTCGAAGAACATATCTAAAGAGTCACAACTGCGTGAAACCAGATTTGAAGCAGCGAATTGTGTGGCGATCTGTCCCTGGCGCGGCAGATCTGTGCGACTGAAGAGGAAGAGGCGTTGGATCTGTTGGTCTCGTGCTCGTTCGACACCAGAAGGCCGGAAGAAGCGCCGCGCACAGTTGAAGAAGAAGATCACAGTGACTGAATTGCGTGAAAGGCAGAATCCAAGCCATTCCGGCACAATTTTCACTAGATCTGTATCTGATCTGAACCCATTGGCAGTTTCTATAGTGATTCTTGGGGAAATCGCAGCGGGACGTGGCGGCGTGTGCAGCAGCACATGCAGCTCACGCACATCTGCTGCTGGCGGCCGACGGAGTTGGGGGAAGGCCGCCAGTGAGTATACAACACCGTCTGAGGTGGTGATGAAAGTTGATATAGATAAATGAATACCAACTCAGCTTATTGTGTTATTTTAGAGTTTGAAGGAAATCCTAAAATTAAAACCCTAAAATAACTTCATTTGTCTATGATATTATGTTGATTTTAGAAAAAAAAAATACAAATTTTATCTTTTCATACTCTTTATTTTATTACAACTAAAGTATTTATAAAATTTTTGACTTATAGATAAGAAAATTACTATTTTCATATAATTCTAACAACATAATATTACTATTCTAATATAATTCTAATTGTATCATCTCAATTAATTAAATAATAAAATATTCTAGTCAACAACCATACTGTCATTCGGCCATCAAAACATTACCGAAAGTAGGTAAGGACCTTACCCCAACTAACCTTGCTCAAAGCTGTTTGACCATCCTCCATGCGACTAGGTGATCTTTTCCATGATCATTCCAGTCACTCTACAAGAATCTACAATAGTTTCTATTCTCTTAGCCACACTTACTCGAATAGGAGACAAAGAGAAGAAGTTAATAGGAAAGTTAAATAGAGCACTCTTAGTGAGAGTCACCCTCCATCCTTCTGAGACAAATCTTCTTTTTCAGCTAGACAATTTCTTCTCCATCTTCACAATTTGAAGTACCAAATATCTTCTCCTCCTCTTTGGAACCAAGAGGCAAGCCAAGGTATTTGATAAAAAAACTAGCAACCTCGCAACCCAGAACTTGAGCCATCTTCACAACACAAAAACCATTCCCCACAACCACCATTTTTGAATCACCCTAATTCTTGAGGCCGTCGGCCACTTGAAAGCATAAAAGAACACATCTTATATCAGTAAGAGATTCTCTATCCAGCTACAAGAAGAGAAGGAAGACATCAGAAAACATGAGACGTGAAAACACCACCTTCTAATTCCTTGCCCCACTAACAGCCCTTTCCACAGATTCAATTCCCTTGCTTTGAGCAGCAGGAAGTTAAAAGTTCACATCAAATGATGAATTGGAAAGGGAAGATAGGATCTCCCTACATAAGAGCTCTAGAAGACGAGAAACATATGCATTAAAACAGAAATAACGGTAGATGGCTAAAGACAATACTTGTATCTATGAAAAATTTGATTTTGCCACATGTACTAAAAGAAAAGTGCACTTTCTCTAAGGCCTCAGTCTAGTGCCTCCCTTATGTTTGAGACACTTTGGGCATAAGTTAGGGCTTGGGTACCAGGTGTGGCTTCAGTAGTACTGCAGATAGACCTTTAATTTCTAAGTTTATGTTGCAAAGAAAAGTGATTCGAACATTGTTGTGTACTTAATTTTGAGGGAAGAGAAAGAAAAATGAATTCAGGAGTCTGGGAAGATGGATCTCGATGTGAAGTGACACAATGTTCACCGGCTATTTTAGTTAAGCAACGTCACCAATAACATGAAGCAAAAATTTCTGGAAAAACACACATCAAACTCATAAGCAAAGATGAAAAGTTACATGTTGAGACCTGTGACAGCCTGTTGCCCATTAATACAACAGAGGACACCTCACTGGCAGCTCCAACACCCCCCACCCAAGCAACTCCAACATCCGATGAAGCCAAGGCAGCAGCATCATTGATTCCATCACCAACCATAGCAACAATGTTCTGACTCTTCTGGAGCTCACTTACAAACTTCTTCTTTTCACCTGGTTTAACCTCGGATAGCACCTGCAATACAAAGCAGATAAGTTATCACCCAATCATGTAATTATTAGGGTTTTTCTTTTTTTTTTTTAACATATAAGTAATTTTATTAGGAGAAAGAAAGCTGTTGCTAGTAAGAAGAAGAGGATAAGGTGTTGTCGTGCCAACAGAAGAAAGAACATGGAGCCAAAGAAAACAATTAAGCCAAATAGTGATCCATCCCTTAGCAAAGTACATAAACGCAACTATGGAATAAGCTATGGTACCTTATCCAAAGAGAAGTAAGGAAGAGCATTCTATCCCAGATACTTTTACATTGTTTTCATTCCATTGTTTAAAATTGCATTTCATTTTGTTATA